CTTGAACTGATATTGGCCAAAGTGAACCTGTAGAACTCTGTTATGCTAACATTGGTGTCTTCATTGCTATTATCTATTCCCAACATCATCAAACAAGGGCTAAGTCTTCAAATTTTTAGTAGGTTTTAGGTTTTCTCAAGCAAGCACTTGCTCAACCTTTTTTTCTCCAAATCTTTCTTTATTTCCAAGTTTTCATAAATTAGCAACCGGCTACGTTTGATCACCAATCTATCGTCCACACGAGGCGCACACACAACACAGGCGTAAATGACAATATATTTGGACCGAAACTATCACCAAAAAGGGCATTAGCGAATTTATAAAAGGTTAAAGATTAAGATGTAAACAAATAAAATTTACAGGAAAAAATATAATGGAAGTAAAAGTTGAGGACGGATGCCGCAATTTTACTTCTACAAATTCTCTTTAGCCAATTCCCAAAAAAAATCATGTACATCATCTTCTACATTATGTTATGTGACAATACACTATTGAACAATTAAAAAAAAAAATTTTTTTTTTTTGTCCATATTTTTTTGAAAACAGAGGGAATGTCAAAAACAATATAAAATAAAGAATGTACATTTAGCATCATTGAATCCAAAATGAACATTCTTACATTTACACTTTGATGTACACTTGGCCACGTGACATTATGCCATTACCCAATCTGACGGCTTAAATTTTAATCAATTTTTCCATTCAATGCATTGTTGACAACAATGCAAGTATCAATCGAAGCGTATAAATTCAACGTACAAATCACAATCCATCCAAAATTCTCACACAACAGGGACTGCACGAACGTGAAGTGAAAATAGAGAGACCCTCTTTATGTACTTGTATGTTTAATAAGGACTTCACTATAGGTACAAGAATTTAAATTACTATACCTACAGACTACACACAACATATGGGGGGAATTTTTTTTTTTTTTCAATATTTTATACATGAGGTCCACTACATGTGAGTTAGAATTCAAAAATTTGGTTGAATTCTATAAAAATTCGTCGTACTTGAATAATTTTTTGTTTGGATTAATCTATGTGTACATAAACTGATCTATAGGGGATGACATAATTTGAGTGGAGCGGAGCCCGCGCTACTGTAGCATGGATCCCACCTCACTCACATTATGTCAATCTCTATGTGTACACCTATGTAGACATAGCATGTCTCTTTTTGTTTAATAAACTCTAGGTCGTCCTTCCCACGCGGACGTGCAGAGATCATTCGCTTGAAGAAAATTACACCTCAAATTCTCTCTCTTCCTTTCTCTCTCTACAAGTCTCTCTAATTCCTATATTTTTTCTTCCATGGAAATATGGAATGATGGAAAAGAAAAAAAGGCCTGAAACTCAATGGTTCAATGATATTTGCAGCTGAATTGTCTTCAATTTCATATCATTTTTCTCTTGTTTTGTCTCATATTTCTATCTTCTAACTGGGTATCCAATTTTTCTTCTCAAAATTACATCCCAGAGCCCAGAATTTTATATCTTTATACTAAACCCATATCTTAAAATCACTCAACAATCAGATTATAAGTAAAAAGTATTAATTATTTTTATATAAAATGCAAAACCCATCAATGTATACATATATAAACCCACAGCCACAATTCCCAGAGCAAGAACAATTAAAGTGTCCCAGGTGCGATTCTACCAACACCAAATTCTGCTATTACAATAACTACAACCTCTCTCAGCCGCGCCACTTCTGCAAGAGCTGTAGAAGGTACTGGACTAAAGGCGGTGTGCTTAGAAACATCCCTGTCGGCGGTGGCTCCCGGAAGAACACCAAGCGAAGCTCCTCCTCCGCCGTTGCCTATTCTTCCACTGCCCACCACCCCAAACGCCCTGCCCCCGCCACGTCTTCTGTCTCGCCACCAGTCAGTGGAACAAATACTGAAACATTTCCTCTTAAGGCAAATAATTACCTGGAGCAATTTGGGAGTACCAGCTCATTGTTGGGGACTAGTGGAGGACAATTTGGTAATTTTGTTGATGGAAGAAATTTGCAGATGGATGGGTCGGGTTTTGAACCGGGTTACGCGTCAGGATCCGGTCCAAAATGTGGACCTACAAGTGAGGTTGGAAGGTGGAAGTGACAATATTGCAGATGAATTCTTGAATGTGCAGGGTGGCAATGGTTGGGCAGATCTCGGTATGTACACGAATCCAGGCTCAACTTTTCGTTAAGAAACGCCAAAAAGGAACAGAATCTGAAAAGAATCATGTGCTTGTAGCAACATTATCCATTTTAAAGATTTTTTAAAAATCAATGGTCCAAATTTTGATGTCAAGATTGTCAACCATAGTTGTCAACACGGATTGTACAAATAGGTTAATTCAGCTGAAAATGTCACACAAATGTTTGGTAAGAAATATCGTAACGTCTGGTGATGCTTTTCAACGTTGTTAAACATCGACTAAAGTAACAATCAAATGACAATAAATAATAGATTCAATTATTCACTTAATTGAACCTGTTAGCTGTAATCACTTACGTTGATATTTTAGCATTACTTTGGGTTAGATAGCATTATTTGAACATCTTGGATGATACTTTGGTTGATCGAACACACACACATGGGGGTAGGCATTATTTTATTCACGTGGGACCCACGGTGCAATGTGAGGGTCAGTCAACTTGGTACCAAATTCAGACAAAGTGGCTTTACTCTATTTTTTAACGTAGAAGATTCGTGTTTTCCGAGGGAAAAGATATGTGCAATGCGTTTTTGTAATGAGGCCCACAGCCCATGATCGTTATTTAAATGGGCAGCACTAAACTCCCATCTACGTCTCAACATTAAACTAACAACATGGGTGGGCCTCCAACTCACTTCAGTTTAATACTGATATATATATTTATGGAAAAAAAATCATAATTAAGGTGTATACTTTACACCAATTCAAAAATCAGGTATATAGTTTGAAAATTCAAAAATCAGGTTTTTTTAAAATTTTTATTTATAAAATAATAAATTATTAAATCAAATTATTATTAAATATTTAATCCTAAATCCTAATATTATATAATATAATTAACACACCCCACATACACCACACATACCACTCCGGGGACTATTCCGGCCACCATTCCGACCACTACTCTTCTCCGGCGACTGTTCCGACGACCTATCCGGCGACTGCTCCGATTCCGACAAATTCCGGCAACCATTCCGATCACAGATTTACAACTTACGATCACATCTTAAAAATTTTGCATGTCACAATTAATTCATTGGTCACAGATTTCAAAATTAGTTGGTCACAAATCAAAATTTATAGGTCACAGTCACAGATTTTTTCGCGGTCACATATTATATAATTTTTAGGTCACATATAATAAAATAGTTGGTCACATATTTTTTTAGTCACATATTACCGAATTTTAAGGTCACGGATTANCCATCACCGGCATCTCACCACCGCAACACCTAATCACCATTATCGACGACATGAAAACCACCACAAGAAGATTTGACCAGCAACGAACCGTGGTATAGATCACCTAACCCACCACAAACCGGATGCTCCGATCTCCTCTTCATTACAGCGGTGGCGCCACCATCACCACCGCACCCACAATACACACACCTACCACCACCGTACCCATCCACCCCACCTCTCTCACATCATTGATCCCAGTCTCAACACCACCCACTACCAACAAGAACCACTAAAATCCCCAACACAACCAAAACATAGCACCACCATCGCACTGCACACCTCCATCGTACCATTCACCGTGCAACTCACCGGAATGAGTGCCTCGCCGGAACATTAAAATCACCACCCGACTGCACAGTACACTGCC